ATATATTATTATATTAAATGCAGTATAATTATATTTTCTATCCCAATTAGATAAATGTCTTATAAACAATACTTCCTATATGAAGTAATTATTACCATTGTTTCGACAAAATGAAATATAAACGTTTTTAAATATAGATAAATAAAGTTAGTATTTTAAAGTTTATGTATACGTGTTTGTAACAGAAGATTAAATTGTAATTACGTAAATGTATTTAAACGATTTACCATTTAAGATAAGATAAGAAAATGTTTCATTATAGCAACGAATTGAATAGTTTTATTATGATGACCGAAAAAATACATGTATAATCTAAAGTTGTTAGCATATATATTATTATTATTATCTAACATATGTGTGTATAAGTGTGGGCGGTGCGGAGGTGTTAGCACGCGCGCATGTTTAATTCACGAATGTATGTGTGTTATTTCAATTCGTACTATTTCACTTGATTTTACGTTCACTTATGCAATCGTGTAAGAAACTTCATTTCGTAGTTTTACATTCACCGAGCCAGATCACACGTCGAAAGTTATTTAAATTCGATTGCTAGTGCGGAGAAATTTATTTAACAGACAGACAGTTCGATTTAACTATCTATTCAATGTAGAAACACCGGTACGCGTCTGTACTAACTTTCGATTACACTAACATAAGTCGAGGAAGTATTTCGAATAGTTTTAACGAGTCTTCGAAACGACTTCATACTTTATGGTATTACTGATAAAAAAATATTTACATACGCGTACGAGAATAGCAATTTTGCTCATAACATTATTATTAATTCCGACTAATAAATTTATAACATAATCATGAACAAATGTAAATGAATATTAATATACTATAAGTATAACTTTGATGTTGTATATATTTTGTATACATGTGAATTATACTATACAGGATGTCTTGAGGTTTATTGGCTTAACTGTGGGAACATATTCTATAAATAGAAACTTTAAAAAGAATTTTATCTCAAGTTCGATTAGAAACACTTTATGAAATAAAGTAAAAAAAATGAAATTTAAATGGATGAAAGCAAATTACTTGGAAGAATAGTATCATATAGTTTTCTATTTATTAATACTTATTATCATCAATTATGCAATTTGGGTTAATTACGATTTACAAATGAATATCGTGATAATTTTTCAGCCCTGGGATAATGAAAATAATATTCGATGAAAATCCTACATAAACCATACGATTTACTTTATTTTAACTGAAAGTATCACGAGATACGATTTGGAGAATCAACAATGCGAGTTGATGAAAGATTTTTGTATTGTTACTCAACTATTCAAAAATTACATCCAATAGATTACAGGAAATCAATTGATTTTTGTAATTGATATGTGAATGCTGCAGAAAAGGACAATTTTTTCTTATTAAAGATATTACGAATAAATGTTAAACAATTTTTACAATTCAATTCTCAAAATAATTATTTTTGAGCCTATAATAATCCACATTCCATCAAACGTAAAAACTCATAACACAAATTTCGGGGTGTAACGTTTATAATAAAATATATATATCATAATTTAAATAGATAATATAATATTATAAATATTATACAATACTTGCAATAATACTAATTTACTTAATATTATATTATTATTGTTATTATCATAAATCCCGCCAATGTTCCTGTCATTGAACAAGATCCTAATATTATTATACCAATATGATATTAAAATTATTAAACCAATAAAACAATATATCATACTAACGAATATACCATAATTCGCAAATGAACCTTTTATAATTTCCTCAACAAAAATTAGGTTACATAGAAATTAAAAAAAAAAAAAAAAGCAACAAAAAAATACAATTAATTACTAATATATAAATCTCTTGTCAAATAATTCCTCAATGAAAAATTATTAATAAAATATTTTTTTTTAAACGCGTATCAACAATAAAAGAATATTATTATAAGCATCGATCGATCGAGTCTAACGCGTAGCGTTACATAAAACCCGTTTAAGCTGTTGGGCCTGGCACGAAGCAACAACGACGACGACGACAACTACGACGACACGGTCGATGTTCGTGCGTTCGAAGGTTCGAATCAGTAGAAGAACGAAAGCGAAGATGGTATCTCTCTGGTTATGCACTAAAAGGAAAGAAAGAGAGAGAAAGACACACACAGATAGGTGGGGTGGGGATACGGGGACTTACGGAGGTGTGGTGGGGAGGATACGGAGACTCAAGGAGGTGTGGTGGGGGATACGAAGACTCAAGGAGGTGTGGTGGGGAGGATACGGTGACTCAAGGAGGTGTGGTGGGGGATACGAAGACTCAAGGAGGTGTAGTAGGGATAAGGGGATTTAAAGAGGTGGGGTGGGGGCTGGCGGGGCCTGTGGAAGGAGAAGAAACGAGCTTTACCTTGACCGTTGGAGTGATTTTGTTGCGGCGACTGCGGCTGGCCCTGCGTCAGTATAATTTGACTTTCGAGCTGCTGGAGCTCAGCTTGGAGCTCGTTCAGCTTGCTGTTGGCCTTCTTCACGATTGTCGCGACATCCGAGAGTGCCTTGCGATCGGTAGCAACCTCTCGAAGTTTCTCAGCTCCGGCTTTTATTTTTAATTCCTAAACAAATAATAAAGAGACAATATTTTAGATTAATAATAAAAATACGTTAACAATGTTATAATAGTATAATATTAATATTGGAGTATAAGTATAGTAATGTTTGATCACATCGAGAATATTCGTATCGTTTTTTTTCTATCTAGGTTTTGGTTAAATTATTTTTCGTATTGATTCAAACGTCACTAGTTTATCTTGATCATTTATACTAATTCATGTTATAGTTTTAGTTAATCGTTTGGTATAAGAATATACCTTTAATATGTTGAAGATTATAGGAATAATCAAACAAGGAAAATAAAATAGACTGCAGGAAAGATAATGAAAGATTTAAATGATGTTATAAAAAATGTTAGGTTACCAAGAAAATTCATGGCATTATATTTTATGTTTCTTTCCAAATAATTTATTTCTATCGATAATAAAACACAATTTTCTTGATTACTTTATTCATTAAGTTATAATTTTGGTAAACAATCCTGTACAGGAGTTACCCCTATTTGTCGAGTATCATGAGGAAATAATGATAATGATTTTTATTTTTTTATAAATAAACACTGAACTTTTATTTATTTGATCAGTAGTATATAAAATAAATTATAGAAGATTAGAAAAATTGCGTTCAATATATTAGGTTACTAATTGTAAATACGAAATGTCCGATTTTTAATTAATTGTAGGAGTAAATCTGACAAGAAGTAATAAAACGATTCATACTAATTATGTCCTAATAAATAATCATTTGTTGATATTTATAATTTTAGTAGAGTTGCATCAGAATTCTATCAAAATTGCATTAGGATTGCAAAGTGATGTTTTATTACAAATTCTAACAATTTATTTAAAAAATACCGATCCAATTAATAACAACCTATTAATAGTAACACTTATAGTTGCATCAGAATTCTATCAGGATTGCATTAAGATTGCAAAGTAATATTCTATTATAATTACTAACAATTTACTTAAAATACTAATCCAATTTTACTCGTAACCCCATTAATAGTAACTTATAATCAGAATTACATCAGAATTGCATTAGGATTGTAAAGTAACATTATAAATGCTAACAATTTACTTAAAATACTGATCCAATTAATAGTACTAACCCATTAATAGTAACTTATAGTTGCATCAGAATTACATCAGGATTGTATTAAGATTTCAAAAAGTAATATTTTATTATAAATATAATGTTAACAATTTATTGTGTGAAAATACTGACCCAATTAATAGTAACCTACAATTACATCAGAATAATGTCAGAATTCGATTAGGATTGTAAAGTGATAATATTTTTTTTGGTAATAAATACTGACAATTTATTTAAAACATTAATCTAATTAACAGTAACCTATATATTTACACAGACATTTATTAATTATTCTTTATTATATAATAATTAATACAAACACGAGATAAATTTGAAACGTACGGTAGCTTTTACTCAAAAATTCTTACAAACTCGTTGAGTTCAGTTATGATCGATCTATTATTCGCTCGAATGCGCTTTCATCTTTCAACTAAATAACTTCCTCCGGCGTGAACTAAATGGAACGTAAAATTACACTATCCAGTATCGCTTTATTTCTTACCTTTCTATTTTATTTCTTTTCTTTTCTTATATATATATATATATATTTTCTGTTATTTTCTTCTATTTTCTCCGTGGTGTTTTAACAGAAGAAACACGTCTCTCAAAAGATGCTAAGCTAATCGATCACAAAACTTGCTTGCTTGCTTGCTTGCTACTCGTCGTTAAAAGTAACGGCTTGTACTCGAACGGGTGGGTTAACGGAAGTAACTTTACAAAAACATTGCTAATCTTTATTTTTATAACTATAGACCAGTCATACTCAACCGCGAGCCCTGGCACGTCAGTCAAATATTTCCTTTTTTCTCATTCTTGTGTATTTTTCTGTGTTGTTTAACCCTCTACGGGAACCCGTGTAACATTTAGGTCATCTACTAATTTTTCTACATTTTATTTAATAATTTTAGTTTTTTTTTCTAATGATATGGCGTATATAGATATACATCCTAATTCTATAATGTCTTCGAGACAACCAATACCAATATTAATGATGATTGTTAGTACCATCAACCTGAAATAATAAAATAAATGATGTGCAAATTGTTTGCAGTAAAAGCAAACGACACCATTTGTTCCAATTGATAATATTTGTGCTTCTTTGTGTTCGGGTGTTTACCGAACAAAAAATAATCTATATATTACCGGCAATGTTAGAAAAGCCAGCATTCTACAGAATGCCTGGTGTTTTTAAGCAATGTACGAAATATATGAATTATTATATACTTTTTCTAGGAATTCTATAGAATGACAAATGTTATTTATGAACAAAGTATAAAAAAAGATTCTGATAAGGTTATTATATAAATGATGTTCATTACACAAAAATACAAATGTTATTCTGAAAATATAAATATTAAATATATAATATAAAAATAATAATAATAATATATAATATATGTGGGAGATTGGCAGGGTTGTGGGTTGATATAATTAATAAAGAATTGATTAACATTAACATAAGTATAACAGTGTGATTTAAGGGGGAAATAAGTGTAGAGGCTTCAACAAATTTTTTTTTTTTTTTGTAAATCGCTTGTAAAACTATTTAAAAATATATTTTTAAAATTTCAAGTCAAAATTGGAATTCGTTCAAAAGTTATAAGCGAATAAGTGAGCGTCCGTCATTTAAATGTCGGAACGTGTGACATGTAATACGGTCGAGCTTTTTTCAAACACATTTTTCTCGAAACAACTTTTTTCAGATTTGTTTACACTCTAGATTAAAAAGTTTTCAAGCAATCATTTTGAAATTTTTAGCATGATTTTTCTCTATACAAATACGTTTTATTTGAACTAAAATTCTAAACAGTATCCTTGTTAAAAGTATTTTTTTATTGTAAAAAAAAAGGTACGAAAAAATGGCAAAAAATCATATTTTATGTTCACACCCATCTAAAAATTCTAATGTTCAATTTTTTTAAGGAAAGTGTGGTTCACATGGAAGAGACACATAAAACAAAAAAAAAGAAATTCTCTTTGTGATTAAGTTATGATAAAAATTGCGGCTTCCAAAATGTACACTTAAAAATTTCGGAATATGTTCTCAAATATATGTGTAAAATGACCCTATAATATTAATAAATAACATAAATTCTTAATACGTTAAAAAAATTTATGAAAAATCACAATGAAAACTTCGTTTTACACCTACTTCCCTCCTTAATTTGTATTTGTATATACAAAACATTGTATATAAAAAACGGTTAGGTTGTATACAGTGTATTTTGTTTATATACATGACCGTACTGTTGTAAAAGCGATCTGCGTGTTGCGTGTGTGTGATCGGCGCACCAACGTGCGTGTATGCGTGGTATCTTGTACGTGTGAGTATTATTCTATCTTTAACATAATATAAAGAAATAATAAAACATCAAAATAAAAATGTTATATTCTCTGAAAAAATAAATATTAAATATATGATATAAATATTTTGTATATAGCCATCGAAATAAAATTCTTTTTCAAATAATGTTAATAATATCAAGTTTGCATCACTATAGAGAAAAAAAAAAATACGAAACCACTCAGAAATCTAAAATACAAGGATTTAATGGATTTATTACTTTATACACCATCACCTGCACATCACAGTTATTTTAAATCCCTTCAGCATACACAAATTGAAAACTGAATAATTCATCTATCTATATATATTTCCGAAATGTTTTAACCCCTGGTTTTGAGAAAAGAAAGAAATTTCAAAGGAAGCATTTAGCAAACCAAAGTTAAATAAAACGTGTTAAAGCGCACCAAGCTCGGTTTTTCGTATAGCACATATGTACGTTTGTATAACATCCGTTTATTTTCTTTCAAATTTTTCAAAGAGATTATTTATTGGGGTTTTCTGCAGTAAAAATAATAATCAAAATAACATTAAAATAAACCGCAACCCTATTATTTCAGAAAATGGGCTAGCTTCGCTAGTAATTAGTAAAACAATATTAATTTTAATGTAGAAAAAAAATTATTTAACCCAAAGAATAAGAGTTGAATATATTTTTTTAGATTTTATAACATAAAAGTATATACGTTTATTTTGTATTTCAAGCAAAATTTACTTTTCCTATGGATTTGTGCTTTCTTAAGAATTGAAAATGTCATTTAATTGATTTAGAAAGTGACTTAAATTTAATCATAGTCATCAAAAACATATTATTTCTTAAATAATGTTAATTAAAACCCAAAAACATTATTCTAATATTCTGTTATCAATATTTTTCAATTTAATCTAACGCAAATCCTTCAATATCTCGATTCGAACATAAATGAACTTACGCCACTTTCGAAATAAACGGCTCATTATTCTGTATTCGGATAAACGATTCATATACGAATTACTCACGTTCAGATAATCGATATTTTACTAACAATTAACACATCCTAGAAATCTTAAACTTCATTTTCATTACTCTTATCGTTATAGAGAAAATATTTTAGATATTATCGAAGTATCGTTATGATTAGTTTATCCATCAGAGATCAGTTGCATGTTGGAAATTATAGTTCACTACAAGTTAAATTACAAGTTACAATTTATAAATAGATGCATTTTACATATAGAGTGGCAACACGATTTCTAGATATTAGGTCAGGGGAAAAAGTTTCTTCGTATTTCCCCTATTGGTAGCTTAAATTTCTCATAACTTTGGTAATAATTAATCCTATCTGACAATTTAATATATAAAATTAAATTAATAAAGTATAGGTATTATATTAAGTTACAAAACATATTATAAATCAATACAAATTGGATAATAAACGTTTGATCGAAAGTATGGTATATATTTAACTATTTTCTAATACTTTATTATAAAAACATAATAAAAAAAATTAGGACAATTTACAACACGGTTTTCATGTTACGCAACTCAATTAATTTAAACAAATCTAATAAAGCACAAATTTC